CATACATACATATACTTATGTATATTACTCTCTTTCTTTCTTTTCTCTCTCTCTCTATCTCTACATACATATATATATATATATATATATATATATATATATATATATATATATATATATATATATATATAAATTTAGATTTAATAATCATAATCATCGAGTTTAGAAGAATCCTCAACAGAATGCCGAATGCCGAATGCCCTCGACGGCCGTTTTGTCCTATTTTAAGACTCATCAGCAGTGCGCATTCACTACCGGCTTAGGGATAGAAGACATGACCCATGGGGGCACAGTCCGTTCGTATAAGTAGACTCGGATTAGTCACACGACGGAATTTGTGAAGAACTGGCGCTATATCGAGTCTGATTTGTTACCTCTCCATTGGTCCAGTTGGCTTGCTTCATATTGTAACGGACCGGGTTCGATTCTCGGTGGTGGATGCGCACTGCTGATGAGTCCCAAAATAGGACGAAACGGCCGTCCAGTGCTTCCTGCATTCTATTGAGGATGAATTAATTATGATATATATATATATATATATATATTTTCCCGATTTCTTTTTGAATTTTTAGGTCTGATGAATTGGTTCGTGATTACGATTACAATGTAATAAATTATAACCATGGAATATTAGTGTTTTTGCCATTTTTTATTATATATATATATATATATATATATATATATATATATATATATATAATGCACCAGGATATTTACATTTGAATTCTTGAACTTCCAATATCCCAATCAGGATGAGCAGGTCTCTCGAGGTGGCACCGTGCCTTGAAAGACTGTTGGGTCTCAAACTCAAACTTGAAATGGGACTGGTACTTACGTTCTATTGCTAAGGATGCAGGTAAAATGGTTGGCTCTCTGTACTGCTCCAGTAAGTACCTGACTCCTCCCGCTATCCTTTACCTTTACAAGAACCAGATCAGGCTAAAAAATGGAGTACTCTTATCATATTTTGGCGAGAGCTGCTGAGACCTCACTCTCCAGTCTTGATAGTGTTCAAAAGCGTCCCCCGAGCCCTTGTGAGTGACATTATTCTCCACCCTTCAACTTCTCTGCCGCAGGAAAAAGTAAACTTTACATGTACAAATTTCAGCTCATCATTCAATCATTATGCCTCTTGTTTCCCTAGGGAACATAGAGCCGCAACAACACCTCTCCAGCGGATGCGGTTGTGGGCGATCTTCTTCAGCCCGGCCCATGTCGAGCCGGCTGCCTTCCCGGGGTATTTTCACCAGCATGCGTCATACACTCCACTTTGGAGGACTCTTCCTCGGCCATGTCGTCATTTGAAGATATCGTTGAGGTTTCTGTATCAAGCTAGTTTTTAAGTAAGATGGTTGTTAGCCTACTGCACAACCCCCAACTTGGAAGACCAGGGTTTTGTCTTTCGTCTGGCTCCTACCCCACAGTCCTTCGAGATCAACAACGGTGTAAAGCAGGGCTGTGTCTTAGCTCCGCTCCTATTCAACGTCTTCTTCGGTTGCATTGTGTCCCATGCTGTCCAAGTTTTGGAACAGGGAATCTACTGACGCCTCCAAGTTCTTCGGCCTGACAATCAGTTTCGGCAAGACTGAGGTGTTTTATCTCTTGATAGAAATAATCCTTTTGACTCTCTGTTGGGATTTTTAGGTGTCCGAAAATTTAGGGCATGGAAGAACGGAGGAAATATTTCATCGACTCTCTGTTTCCATTGACTGGTCGTCTCTAATTTTATCATTCTTTCGAGACAAATGAATTCATTCATCATTGTTTCTTGATTTCTGATTGGTTCACAGGACTCATCCCTTTTTCTTTACCTCCATTTCGGAATGATGACGTTTTGCCCTATTTTTTTTTTTCTTGTCTTTTTGTTTCTTTAGTTTTGCACGTCGTGGTGAAAGTGGTCATTGCCCTTCCCACGACCTTTTGTGACACAAGAGCTCAAGAAATCAGTATTTGACAATATATAATCAGTATTTGACAGTACATACTCTATCACACTCCGGAATCAGAATAACATCCAATGAATCGAATTACTCTCCATTTACTGCTGTAACAGGAGTCAAGGCACAAGTCCCTCGAATATTAGCAAATACAAAGACAATGAGGACACTCAAGTATGAAATTCTCGGATAAACAATCTGGCTAAAGAGATGCAGAAAGCTATTTAACGGCCATTTACATTTTTTTTTTTTTTTTTACCGAATTCGGATGTCCCCAGAAGACTTAAGAATTAGTAAATGCGTATGGCTTCGGACAGACAGGGTGCGAAAACCTCTGGAAGCTTCGTACACGGGTCAATTTAAGGCAATGGTTCCCAACCAATTTGGGTCCACGCCCTAATTTGGTATTTTTAAAATTCTAGTGTACCCCCCTCCCACCACTACCACCTCCGTAATATTTAATTCTTACATATTCAAAATTTTACTCCAACTCACGTGAAAGAAGCTTAAAAGGCCATTAACTTGGTTGTCGGAGTTAGCTCCTCCTTAATTCCCAAATTGTCACTAGGGGCCATTCTCCCTATACTATAAATACAGGGCTACTTCTCGCCTCGTTCTCTTTCATTTCTTCATTTCAGTGACTACAATGTAAGCTCTCTTAGAAGATCCGCGTCTTCCCGTGAGAGACGCCATGAACATTATACTCACATACACGTACGTACGAATATTCACCTAAAACAGACACCAATGTTTACACACACACGAATGTTATTGTTCATTGTAAAATTGTTTTGTTTAATACATATATTTGTTTATATATATATATATTGGTTTTGTTTGTTTTCCTTTCATCTTCAGTTGGACTTAATTCAAGTCCGGCTATTTTCTTGTAGTTGGAGCTTTTAATATTCTACCAGGAGTTACTCACGTGTTTCTAATACAACAACACGCGGTCCTCTACATGGTCTCTAAACAAACCTCCAAAGACCATGGTGTCCATGAAAGAGAAAAATTTTAAAAAACAAAAAAAAAAAAACACTTAAATATATATAGTTTCAAAACATATAATAGAGAACTGAAAGGTAGAAATATAAAATATTTGAAAGAAAGCTTATTCTGTAATATAATTTGATCATTTTAATCATGAAATAATAATGCAAAATGAAATGGGAATGAATTTCTTATAAAAACCCAGAGATTTCGACTCCAAGAGATGCGGCTGTCTCCAACACATGACTACATAGCTTCTTTTACTCATCCCCCGCCAGCGCGGGCTGAAGAAACATGTGTCGGCGAGTTCAAATGAATTAATTATAGCAACACCATTGACGGCCAATCTCCAAGAACAACTAAGACGGCCTGTGAACTATTCGATAACAATAAGTCTAAGACAAACTATTTAAAAGTCTTTTCTAAACTACAGATTTTTTGTGTACAAACTACTCAAAAAACTAACTCAACTAATAATTATTTTTACTCCTTTTTGACTCTTTTGAATTCATGTACATATGTTTGTAAATACAAATCATTTATTTAACAGCCATACCATCTTTATTTTTATTTTGTGTTATCATCTCTAATCTGGATCCCCACAAAGTATGTAGATGTTATGCTATCACTGTAATAGTCCTTAAGAAATGTACTTCCGAACTGACCTTTGCTCTCTCTAAACTGTATGATAAATGGCTCGTTGGATCTTGCTCTCCGGCTTATTGGAAATCCTCATGTGTTGCTCCAATCACTCAGGTGAACCGTCTGACATTTCCAACTATCGGTCTATTAGTCTCTTTCTGGTAAACTACTAGAATCTCTAATGAACGCTGAATTGGTTAAGCATCTTACACCGCAGTGCCTTCGTTCAGGCAAGCAATATGGCTTTCGTTTCTAGAAATGGAAAAAAAAATGGGAAAACACTTTGAGGAAATTAAAAAAAAAATCACAAGGCAGAAACTGAATACTCAGACGTGACGTCTAAACTCTCAAAGTTTTGGTTCACCACTATTGTAGCTTGGTATTGAAGTCAAAACTTGGAGAGTTGAGTTAAAGGGGAATAACTGAGACATCCGGAAGCGGCATGGCGCGTGGAACTAGAACAATATAACCCGGTGGACGAAAGAAAGGGTTCAGTTCAAAATTCCAATCATCTGAAGAAGGCCGGAGCATACAACGGCCGAAACGTTGTGAATATGGCAGTGAAGATGAGGATAACAGTCCGAGTAATGTAAATAATGCAAGTAATCATAATAAATTCTTTTTTGCGTCTGTTATGGCAGGATAACAATTTTTCTGACATTACAAAAAAGAGATTATCATCAGATACCAGAGAAAAAAAGTGTTACATTTTTTTAGAAAAAGACGGATTCAGGAACAAAAAGATTACACCCTTTAAAAATGGGGGGGGGGGGCGGAAAAACTTTGAGGAAGTAAAAAAAATTGCAGAAAATTTAAAACGCACCCACCTCAGTTCATAACTTAATACTCAGACGTGACGTCTCAGCTCGAAGGATTTTCTTGTTTTCATGGGTTATTTTCTCGAGGGATTCTTGCAGTACTTGAATGTTCATTTTAAAATAATAAGAATAAAATTTTTATTACTAACGTCATTAAAAATGAAAAGTTATGGGAACATAATGACAATTGGTATGTAAAATTGCCTTGGGATGAGGAAAAAATTAACTATGTTCCTTCAAACCATGCTGTGGCCATTAATGTACAGAATCATGTTTCGCCTGATAAATTTGACTACATTTGGATACTTCATAAATCTATGTTCGCATCTGAGGAACAAACAATTAAAGAAATAAAAAAAAACGGAAAACCTTTGAAGAAGTAAAAACAATTCATAAGGCTGAAAATACAAAACGCACCCACCTTAATTCTTAACTGAATACTCAAACGTGAGGTTTCAGCGCAAAGTGTTTTCGTCTTTTATTTTCTCGATTGCTTTTTGTAGTACTTGCAGGAAAGTTAATTTGAATGTTCATCCAGATTAAATTCTTCTCAGGAATGCACAGAAAGGAATGTCCTGTTCTGGGGGTAGAATCCGCCTTGAATCTGTTGTATATGTCGGCTCTTTCTTTCCCTGGATTGATTTATGACCCCCTCGGCTGGACTGCTCCTCGTCTTTTAAGCGTGAGCGCTAAGGCTTCTTCCTCAACCGTTAATTGCTTTCTTATCAGCGGTTCATTCTTTCTGTCCCAATCCGCTAAATAGCAGTTGCTTTATTGAACAAAGGAGCTTCATAACGGCTCAATTCAAGTTTTCACATAGGCTTAAAAGGGACAGTGTCTCATTGGCCAGTAAATAGAAACCATCCCTCTCCATGAATTCAAAAACTGAATCCACAACAAATCAAATCATTTTGGCGGTTTCAACTGCTTGATCCAAGAGGACCATAAAAAATGCAACAATTTTTACAGGAATCTTCTGGCCTTCATAAAGATACACTTCTCTCAAAAACGTGTATTAAAAGAAAACAACCTAGACGATTATACATTTAGATGATTATAATATTTTTAACATAATAAAATAATTTTTTTTTATAGAAGAGAGTTTAAAATATTTAGCTTTCTTGGATTGTTCAGAGAAAACTCTTTGAACTGTGGGTGCTTGGTTAGAGGCCAATAACTATGATTAATTTAATTTTTCTCCTCATTTTACATCAAAATAATTTCGCGTAGTCTCGCTACTTTTTTTTCTTCTTCTCGGCTGACCGGTTAATTTCTGTGAAGGCAAGGTTTTCATTGGTCCAAAGGAAATTTTACATAGGCTTCCGAATTCATTTTTTCTTATTCCTCAGCCCTCCGAATTTGAAGGAAATGGGTGAAAGGGAGTTATTATTATTTCGCACTCACTACAGATACTTGATTTTGCATAATTTGTTTTACTGAAATAACTGTAGCAAAAACAGAACCAGAATATTTTGATTTAATTTCGGAAAAATGTATCTATTTTGTTTGGTTTTGTATATATATAATTTGCTCTGTTCTCGTTATCTTGGGCCAAACTAAGCTGGCTGTTAAAAAAACAAAAAAAAAACAAAAAAAACAAGGAAAACGCTTTAAACAAGGGCGATAACTCTAAATGTTTTAATTTCGGGCCATGTGACAATGTTTGGCCGTGTTTTCATATCATAGTCCAAAAAACAACAAAGTACAAGATGTCCAGACTTCGTTTAGTTATCAATGCAGATGACTTTGGTTACAGCCAAGAAAGAGACGAAGGCATCGTCCAGTGTATCCAGAGCCGTTTAGTGACCAGTTGTTCCTTGCTACCCAATGGACTGACCGCTAAAACAGCGGCGGCTTCATTGATTTCGTTAGCTTCCGACTTTGACGTGTCATTAGGTTCGACGAATTTTTGTAAAAACATTTTCAATTTAATTGTTATTTTTAAAAACAAACTCTATGGCACTACTATTTCAATTGACTGGTCAATTCGTAAAAAAATAGGGAAGAATTAAAAAAAATAACGTGAATTAGTATTCAGCAAATGACTAATTTACAAAAAAATTATTTTGCCCCGTCCAAAAAAAAAAAAAAATTCTATTTTTTTTTACGAACAGACTCAGTCATTTTTTAAGTAGTGCCTCCTAAAATATTACAGGTAGCTTCCTTATAATGTTTTAACTTTGCTTTTAGTGTGTAAGATCGTCGTATAATTTATTTATATAGTCAGTGTTATTCTCTAATTTTTAGCATGTTTCTACGGGTAGAATGTTATTTTAAATATTTATTTTTATTTAAACATTTCCAATCTCTTAGTGACAAAGTAAATTTTGTTCTGGAAAATATAATGAAACAGTTATTTTTAAGTGCAATTGGATTCTATCGTTTTCTTTTATTTTACGATAAAAATACATTTGAACAATATTACTTTTCTGTCGCCATATACATTGAAAAATGGGATTGTCGGTGGTGAAGAATTTAATGTGTAAGCATCTTTCATTTGTTTTGTTTTTTTGTAATTTTTTCAGCAAGCTTGAAAAAAAAAAAAGAAAAAAAGTTACCCAGATGAATTTTAAAAGTAAATATCATCATCCAGTGGTTAATATTACTTTTCCTTATAACTTTTTATTTAGTCTCTTTTACAATAGTTTTTTTTGTTTATTATTTTTCTCTCTCTCTCAAAAAAAAAAAAGTTTTTCTTGTGGAATGTTGGCAAATAATAATAATATTTATGAGACACCTGCAAAATTGATGACGTCACAAAAAATGCGATCCAAGTCACAAAAATAAAATCATTTTTTTCCGTACATAGATTGGTTTCTATCAATAAATAATTTATTTTTATTTAATTACAGTTAATGTTTATAGAAAAATTTCAATTTTTTAATTTATAAAAACGAACAACAGAATTTTATCAGGTAATTTTTGTGGTGAGAGTTGTGCTCTTTTGACTTAGATCACATTTTTTGTGACGTCATCAAATTTTGTTAATTCATCCATGCATGAAAAAGTTTTTAGATTTTCAAAAAATGCTGTTAAAAGTTTTACTATTGTTACATTTTTATTGAGGCTTAAAAAAAAAAAAAAAATTTAGTATGTTTTTTTAAAAATAAAATTTAAAAAAATAATTGTTCCATAATTTTTAAAATTATTAAAAAAAAACAAAAACTATTCTGTTATTTTGAGTTTCCAATATTTTTTCACTGAAGTGTGTGGGCCAGGAATAGGGCAATGGTAAATTCTTTTAAACTAATGAAATGGTATTGCAAAAATGGATGTTAGTCCCAGCAGTGTGTGAACAACATTATAATGGTGAATGCTACACCATATTTGATGGCATGTGGGACCAGCTTTCCCACAAAATATTAGAATTTCATAAGTTTGTCAACAGTGTATGGGAGAATTGGAGAGGGAATTGAACATGGAATAGACTGTGCTAGGGTTAGTTTTGCACAGCACTGCAAGTTGTTACAGAACAAAAACATTAGCTTGAAAACTCCAGTCATGATCTTAAATAGCCTTGTCAAACCAAGACCTTCATATAGATGCTATGCATGGTGCCAAACTTGTTCAGAAATTTCTAAACTATCAGCTGTATACAACCACATTTTGAGATCATTGATTAAAAATGGCTTTGAGCAAGTGATGTTTGTGAGTCTTGGTAAAAATCAGTCTTCTTTGAGCCACATGAATTGGTGCTACAGAATTGCAAACAAAGACCGGTTGAATAAGACAGCCTACTACAGGAAATCTGCTTTGTCAATATCAAATCAAAAGAGATCTGATCGCATCAGTGTGTTTCTCATTATGGCACTTAACTGACAGACTGAAATTGTTGTTGTAAAGGAGTTATCTCCCTTGCATTGGCGATATTGCAGAAACTTTGAGAGACAGTAGTAAAGGAAAGCCTGAAGAAAGGACTAAACATCAATTGTAAGAGGACAGAATTTATGGTTGTCAGTAAGAGGAACAGCCCAAGATATGAACTACAATTTGAAGATACCAAAATCAAGCAAGTATGAAAGATCCGGGAAGTGTTTAAACCGAGGATCAAAAGTGTGACACTGAAATTCAGAGGGACATTGGAATACTGAAAGATGCCTTTCTAAAGTTAAATAAAGTATTAAGAAATAGGAAAATTTTATTAGAAACAAAGAAAAGAGGGTGCCACTTAAGCATATGTCCTACCGATCAGTTTCTGCTTTAGTGTATATCCTACCGCCACCTTTGTATTCTACATTATTAAGGCATTGTCCTAACTTTTTTTTTTTTCAATATGTTAAAAGACATTCACAATGTTTTTATTTAAAGGATTCAAATATCTTGTTTCATGATTTTTTTTTAGTCAAATTTTTTATTTTCTAAATTTTTTTGATTTTAAATTTTATAAAACAATAAATAGCATCCTTCCTTCTGTTTTTGCTTTCCCCCTTACACTAGATAATGTAGGATACAAATGTGGTTTTAGGACATGCTGATCAGTAGGACACATGCTAAAACAGCAATGAAAAGAGGACTGAGCTGTTATGTAATATCAGTCTCTATATATGGCAGTGAATGCTGGACAATTTCCTCACAGATAAAGAAGAGACTTGAAGCAACAGAAACAAAGAAAAGAGGACTGAACTGTTATGTAATATCAGTCTCTATATATGGCAGTGAATGCTGGACAATTTCCTCAGATAAAGAGACTTGAGGCAACAGAGAATTGGTTCTATAGAAGAATGCTGAGAATATGATAGGCTGAACATGTGAATAACTTTTAAGGAAATGGAAACAAAAAGGAATTGTTATTGTAGTCAGTTTCTCTGCCTTGTAATAAAGTTCCCTAATCTGTTTCTGTCAACCAACAGAGTAACATAAGTCAAACAATCCAACAACACGTCTTCTGTTCACCACAGCAGTCATACTTCTGTCTGTCACCTCTTTAAGCTCTTTTTATAGATTGAGTGACAGTTCAAATTTACATATGTTAAATAAGATTCTCACAAAAGTCTATCCAACTTCAAGATCTATCTTTTTTTAAATGTACCACACGCAAAGCCACCATTTACTTTTTGGGAATATTTTACATGCGAGATACGTCCAAATCCGTTTTCGTCCAAGAGGTAAGCTATTTTCTCTAATGTAACACTTATACTTAGAACCAGAAAGAGAAATCTGAAATTTTTAAGACACATAATGAGAAAAGAGGGCTTGGAGAATTTCACACTCACATGACATTGAAGACAAGAGGAAAAGAGAGAAACAGTGAGTAACCAACATACAAGTTAGTGTAAATGGATGGCAGAACATGAAGGGCTAGGAATGGTGGGGAAAATACAACCCTTACTAAGAGCTAGAAAGGATAAGAAGATGTAGAGAGCCATGATTGCCCACTTCCTGAAGGGATACATCACATAGAAGAAAAAGAAAGAGGAGGAGGGAAACAAAATTATTTTAATGGTCTTACATGTTGCTAAATGCAGTAGTGTTGAATTTTGTCTGCTGCAAAAATGATCAGAGGATTAAATTTTTTTATTTTAAACTCTTTAGGACTTCATTTGAACCTGACCGAGGGTCGTCCAATTGGATCCACTTACGACAGTCTGCTTGACTCTAATGGTGAATTTCTGGATAAGGGTACATTTCGGCAAGCAGCGCTTGAAGGGCGAATTGATTTTAGAGAGGTAAGACATTGTCAGCCATTATCCCCTTGATTTTAGACAGGTAAAACATTGTCAGCCTCCACCCACCTTAATTTTAAAGAAGTAAAACATTGTCAGCCACCATCCCCTTGATTTTAGAGAGCTAAGACATTTTCAGCCCCCACCTCCTTGATTTTAGAGAAGTAAAACATTGTCAGCCATTATCCCCTTGATTTTAGAGAAGTAAAACATTGTCAGCCATTATCCCCTTGATTTTAGAGAAGTAAAACATTGTCAGCCATTATCCCTTTGATTTTAGAGAGGTAGAACATTGTCAGCCATTATCCCCTTGATTTTAGAGAAGTAAAACATTGTCAGCCATTATCCCCTCGATTTTAGAGAGGTTGAACATTGTCAGACACAATCCCCTTGATTTTAGAGAGGTAAGATATTGTCAGCTACTACCCTCTCCCACCCAATTTATATCAATATAAAGGGATTGCAGTATCAACTCTTGAGGAAAGACGCATTTTTTTTACTAAGACTCTTGAATACTTGACTGGTAGACATTAATTACACTTTAAAAAAAAAGTGGGTGGAATGTCTTCTCAAATACATGTACCCACCAAATATAATATTTTATAGTAATAAGAAATAACATTAGATTCCATATAAATATATATTGGGGGTTATATATTGGAGTTTAAATAAGAAAAAAAGTAGGAAAAGCTTTATAAATTTAACATGTTTCGATATTTATTTGACTTCATCAGATTCATTTAGCTTTAGAAGTGGAATAATGTGGAATTGTTTTGATTTTAAAATTCTATGTTGTTTTCTTTTCATATGAATATTAAGGTTATGACTTTTTTTGCAACTCTACATCATAAATCAATGACCTTTTGTTCAAAAGTAATGAAAAAGTCATTAATTTGTTTTTGCTCTTGAAAAAGGTCATCTCTAAACTGAAAATTTTATTTTACCATATATACAATAAGGGTAAAAAATCAAAATATTTCAGAAGCTTTATTTTTCATTTGCTAATGATGTAATTGGATGGGATTTACGTATTTTTTTAATGCATTTAACAGTTTATAGCTATAGTATAACATACAAACTTACAAATAAACAAAAACAAGTTCCAGAAGTTTTCCAAAAAGTTATAGTACTACTATACTTATACAGGGTGGCAATAAAGTCACTATAAAATTACTTAGAATAACAATTAAGACAGAACAATTAATGAACATCCCAGAAATTTATTATTAAAATGGTTCTGGTTAATTCTGGTTAATAACAATAAAATGCTATGTTAAACAATAGTAAATTAATTAGCGATAATGTTCAAACTGCACCCCACCTGCTTCAATGCTTTGCTTTTTTATTATAAGTAACTGTATGTTGACTTTATTGCCACTTTATTTATGATTTTAGAAATTTTAAAAATTTCATGTTGGGGGTGACATTTCTTAAAAAATAAACTGAATTAAAGCCTTTTTCATTATTTTTAACAAAAGTCCATCAAATTATGACGCAAATTATTTTATGAGAGGTCAAAAATTCATAACCCTGATGTATATCCAAAGGAGGAATTTCTCTTTTCTTCTTTATGAACTGGCAGACAAAACTGTCATTCATATAGATAGGGTGGTTGGTTCACCTATCGCCTTGATCCCACTTCTTCCTCATCTTTTGAACAGGAGTAAATGTTTATCTTGTTTCTTGTTTTAGGATTGGGTCTCCAGATTCTTCTAAAGTTATTTTTTTTTTCACTCCCAGTGATCCCTTACATCTTAGTGGCATTATCACCTTGCTTGGGGTGAAATAATTAAAATATACTATTAGGGAAAAGAACAATAAAAGAACAGGAATTAAGAAAACAGAAGACAATGATTTACTTTACATTTAAATCAGTGATTCCCAACCGATTTTGGGCCATACCCCACTTTGGTATTTGTAAAATTCTGGTGCCCCACTGTAATATTTAATTCTTACATATTCAAAATTTTATGGCAATTCACATGAAGGAAACTTAAAAGGTCATTAACTTGGACCCTAAACAAGCCTCCAAAAAAATGGCGTCCATGAAAGAGAAAAATTAAAAAAACAAGAAGACAGTTATAGTTTTATAACATATAATAGAGAACTGAAAGGCAGAAATATAAAATATTTGAATGAAAGCTTATTATGTAATATACTTTGATTATTTTAATCATGAAATAATAATGCAAAATGAAATTTGAGTTCACTAGGAAACAATTCACTGTTAATAACTCATTCTTGAATTGCCCCTTTATTCTGTTGGCATAGTAAGCTGAAGGGTGCACATCCTACGCATACCCCCACCAAAATATTACTATGCCCCATGGGTGGGGCATGCACCTCATGTTGGGAAACATTGATTTAAATGATTGAAGATCTAAGTTGACTGGGAAGCAAGAAGCTAGAAGAGAGTTCCACAGGCAAGAAGTGCAATAGAAGAAACACATTGTTACATCTCATCATTTCAACTGTCAAATAATGAGACCTAATTGCCAATGCAGTAGTAAATAATATAACAATATAAGAGGAATACAGTGTTGATTCCTGAGGAAAGATACATTTTCTTCATTAAGACTCTAAAATTCCAGGCTGGTAGACATTAATTACACTGTTTAAAAAAAAAAGGGGTGTGAATACATGTACTCACTAAATATAACATTTATTGTAATAAATGACTAACCAAATCCACATCTTACAAACATTTCCCTTAATAATAATTTTAAAATAATTCAACAGATGATGTTATTTTATTTATGGTAATTGAATTTTTGGCAATTACCTTACTTGGATTCTGTTGTTTTTATCATGCTCAGAATCACTTCTCGGCCTTTTGGCTTGTTTTGTGAGTGATGAATTGTTTCCCACCATACAACACCTTTCCACACAAATGAAACTTTGCTAGCCACTGGCTACTAAATCACTATTTCCAAAACAAATGTTCGGGCCGATTACATTCCTTGTTTCTACCTGTTCAGACATTCACATCTAGGACCCACCAGTTCAGACCTTCAGGGATAATTTTAACAACTATTTATGAATCATGTTGACGTGCACATTTCAGTCTAATGGGGTCTTTCTCTCTCTCCACTGGGGAGCCGTTTCAAACACAAAAGCAAACACATCTACATTGTTTGATGGTTCAGAAACAACTCATCGAAAATCCTTTCTCTACACCACCTATCATTCCCACACTGGCTCAACAAATCAAAATCGACTTCCAGCACATGGTAATGAGATTTTGGCCAACTGTTTGACATAAGCTCTATTTCTCGCTTCCTTCTAGACATAATGCTACAACTACTGTTACTCAGAAAATTAAAGCAAGTTAAAAGAAAATTATTTTTTAGTTCCACAAGTTCAGCAGATTTAGGAGGCTCGATTTGCATTGTTTAACTCCACTTTTTTATTTCTTTCACACTATTTTGTTTATTGTATGATACTTGTACAGGAGAAATGGGTAAAAATCTAAAATCGGGGCCATAATTCATGAGTTAAAATATATATATATATATATATACACACACACACACACACACAAATATACAAATGTAAAAGAACAAAGAAGAGTAAGAATTCAGCATTCAAAACATTAATTTAAAACAGAGCTCAATACTAAAGTAGAGCCATAAATATTGAAGATGTACAGTTTTCTAGTGGGTATATGCATGTTCTAATGTAAAACTGCATAATATTTAAATATATATATATATATATATATATATATATATATATTATTTACACATTTGCTTGTCAGTTCCTTTTCTTTGAAAAATGCTTTAAAAAATATTTCTCTATTTACGCTATTTACCTTGTTCAGACTGTTGTCCTCATCTTCAATGTCACATTCATGACATTTTGGCCATTGTACACTCTGGCCGCCTTGAAATGTTGTGAATATGGCAGTGAAGATGAGGACAACAGTCTGAACAAGGTAAATAGTGTAAATAGAGAATAAAGATAAAGCATTTTCTCATAGAAAAAGGAACTGACAAGGGCCTGCACAAATGGGAATATATATCCGAATATATATTTGAAAAAAAAATGAAAAAAAGCACACAACCCGACAAAATCTGAACCCGTCAGCTATTGTTTGCTTGGAGCAATGGTAGTCACCTAAAAATAAAATCAACCACTCAAGATATCTTTTTTAAACTGATAAAGTGTATTAAAAAAATTATTTTCATTTTTGCGTGTGTGAATTATGTCCCCTGTTTTATGGCCCTGATTCTAAACTTTTAACAACAAAAAAAGCAAAAAAAAAAACTAAAGACAACAAACTCAATTCATATACACGGGTGCTTAAAAAAACGGTTATCAGTCTCACCCACGGTGAATTTTTATTTCTTATGATGGAGTGGTGTGGATGGTTCTCAGCCGGACCAGAAACTTTTCTCTTTTTTCAGTATCCCCTCATACATTGTGTCATATACTGAATTAGTCCACTACAATCTTTGTACTGTTCCTTCAGGATATGGGTGAATATGATTCTCCAACTTCCTGTCTTCTGTTGCTTTAAGTAACTTTTATTTTATTTTATTTTTTTTAAATTTTATCTTATCACTACAGCTTCAGAACTTCAAAGAACAAATATCTAATTATTATATTATAAACATCTTTTTTAAACTGATAAAAATGGATTAACAAAATTACTTTAATTTTTTTCCATGTGAATTATGTCCCCTGTTTTATGGCCCTGATTCTAGACTTAACAAAAAATATAGGGTATATCATTTGTTTGTTGGTGTGTTGGGGAATATTTTCCTCCCTCACAATTAAAGGGGGACAACTGGATCTCGGAATTTTATTTCCTTTTTCGATACGAGTTGATAAGGTAAGATTGTTACATGGGCATTCAACTCTTTTAAACCAACATTTGATTGAGAACTTTTGGTTGACATTAATTTCTTCACTGTTTGATGTTTTAAACTTTAATTAATTTACTGAGCCAATTGGAACAAGAAATATTTGTAAAAAAATCCCCAATGAGTTTTTTGTCCGTTTTTACTTGTTTTTCAGGTGAGGGAAGAAATCAACAAACAGATTGGCACATTTGAAAAAATCTGTGGGACACGACCGTGTCATGTTGATGGGCACCAACATGTTCATGTGATTACAGGTAGGCTAAATTAATTGTCCACTAGTTTATACTGATTATCCACTGCAGTTTTAGCATATATAAAAATTCAATAGCATATTCTACGTTCAATTTCCTTTTCTAATGATAGCCTTAGAGCTGACTGGTTTTAAAATTTTAGGTAACCCCCTTCTCAAATGGATTAAATAGTTTCAGCATCTTAGTAGGAGTGAGTTAAACCAAAGAAGGTATGAAAGTTACTAATTATTAAACCTTTGGCTGATAGTGTGTCTAAAAGACACTCTTAAAAAGTTGTTGGGAGTGTATAGGAAAACACCTAAATGATAGCTCTCCCAGCAGCTCCAATTAGGGAATCGAAGAGTCGAATTTGAATTCAAGTCAGATCCATTACATTCACTTACGTGCTAATACTCTAGGAGAAATTATGAATCCTCTTCTCCCCCCAGCTATGGATAAATAACAGGACAAACTGGGTTCTATAGCCTCAGATGGCAATCGGTCTAGGATAAGGTAAAACTCTGAATTCAAAACTGTATGTAGTACATACTATACAGGTAATGAAAAAGATCGTTAATATTGGCTCGATGATCCTGACTGTGGTTGACAAATGATGATGAGCTCTCCCGGCTGCTCTGGGGGTAAGAAGCAGAGAAACGAAATGAAACATCAAGTAACAAAATGACACTGCATTAGATATTGGCATCACATTTATATTAGATGACAAATATCTAAAAAGGAAATGAAATATGTATACCTATTGCTTTGCAGTTCATTTGATATAAAGTAGATATCAGATACCATGTTAATATTCCTTGATATCAATTACCAAGATTCAAGAATATTTGTAAATTTGTGATATGTAAAAGTTCAGGTGGTTAAAGTAGTGAGACAACTGAAATATCTCGACTCAATTATCAGCTGAAATCAGGATAGAAATAATTTTAGGTACCCCCCTCAAATGGGTTAAATAGTTTCAGCATTCTAGCTTATCAGCTGAAATCAGGATAGAAATAATTTTAGGTACCCCCCTCAAATGGGTTAAATAGTTTCAGCATTCTAGCTTATCAGCCGAAAGCTGGATAGAAATAATTTCAGGAGCAGCACAAATAGTGGCAGCTGTCACAAAACTAAGAACCTGGAAAGAAAAGAACATCTGTCTGTGATCAGAATTCTTGCATGCATTGATTCAACTTCCTTTATGACTTTTTTGAATTGTACATCAACATCTCTATACATTTTTTTATTTTATTTTTTTTTAGCTTTTTGGTGGGGGTGGATACCCTGCGATTGACTTTTCGTGAAATTCATCATATCCTTTCTGAATTTTCTGTAAGGCTTCCATGTTTTGATAAAATATTTGCCTAATAGAAACACACACACAGAGAGGCAGAGTTTAATGCTCATGCCTGCAATAAAATGGTGTGCCAGTCAAAAGGACGGTTTTCCCTTGACACTGCTATTATTTTAAATACCTTCACTCCCTCAGTAATGTTTGTTGTTTTAAAAAGTGATGATTAGAATTTTAAAACTTTAGTTTGGTTTGTGTCTATATTTCTGAGATGAGACATTATGTACACTATTTACATTATTCGGAATATTGTCCTCATCTTTGTCAACATATTTATTACAACGTTTTGCCCGTTGTACACTCTTTGCTTTCTTCAGGCCACAAAAATCTCCTGAGCCAACCAAGCATAGAAATGAATACAATATGGGAACCAGTAATAAGGAGTGCCAGAGAGAAAGCAATAACAACAACAAAAATTGCAATATGAGCTCTGGTAAAAACATGAAATGATAACAGCAAAAATTGCAATATGAGCACTGGTAAAAAATTATTTCTGATGACATTAGGTTTATAATAGCCAGAAAGGACACATGGCATAGTGGATAAAGGCGTTGGTTAGATCCAGTGACAGGACCCAAAGATTGTGAGTTCAATACCTGGCTAAGGCGGTGGAGAACTTGGAGAGGGGAATTAACAAGAGATTACTGATAACTGACATCCATTAAACATGGCACGTGGAACTAAAGAACTGTGAGTGAAATAAAGGGTTCAGTTCGACATTACAACCACCTGAAGAAGGCTGGAGTGTATAACAGCTGAAACGTAATAAATTTGGTTTGTTTTGTTTTATGACATATCACCCAACCTCAATTGGTTATTTAATATTGACAAGATTTTTATTACTGGTTATACTTTTTCAAAAACAAAAGTATTGCTGCTAATATATATATTTTTTTCCGTAAATTTATTGCTGGTAATAATTTTTTTCTTCAAAAATTTATTGCTGGTAATAATTTTTTTCTTCAAAAATTTATTGCTGGTAATAATTTTTTCTTCAAAAATTTATTGCTGGTAATTTTTTTCTTCAAAAAACCATTGTTGGTAATAATTTTTCATAGTTTTTTTGTATCCCTTTTTTTACACTTTTATAAAAGACAAATCCCAGTTTATATTTTTCCCATAGTTGGGATATTAACTGGTGCTACCACCCCACGTCAGGTTAAACCTGGGTACACTAGCAATTAAGAGGTGGTTCCATGCTCCTCAAACCTCCTGATCAGACGCCTTGCTGTTGGGTGTAGTTTATCATCTTACCCAGGACACGGATGTAGTTTCATACCCAGGATGCCCATTGGTGTGGGGTGGCTTACCCTTCTGCAGAGGTGCAGTCAACGTATTCTACAGCCCCAGACAACAGGACACAGAATTTTAATAAATCTCAAACATGTAAAAGTGAATTTATACATTTTTTTTTTACACCAAAAATAATAAACTCTATTTATTTATTTGTATTTGTTTATTTACAAGAATTATTTTATATTTATAACATTCTAAAATTAATTAAATCATTAATTAAATTCATTAATTAACTCATTAGCAATGAGTTAATGTTTTAATAATTAATTACAATTAAAACATTGCCAATTTTACTTACCTTCACTCTCTTGACAACGTTTGTTGCTTTAAAAAATCAGGATTAGAATTGTAACAAAACCCAAACATATGATGAAAATGAATTTATACCTTTTCTTTGTTCTTTGAGAATTTACAGCAAAAATATTAAACACTATTTATTAAATTGTTTATTTACAAGAATAGTTTTATATTTACAACACTGAATAAAAAAAATTGCTTTCCTAGTTATTTATAAGATAGTAAACAATAAATATTACATTGTAGATGGTTTACATATTTTGATAATTTTGTCATTTTTTTTTTTATAAATGTTTGAAAAAAAAAAGATTTCTTTTCAAATTTATTTCTTTATAAAAATGGTAAATAAATCTTTATAAAAGGTAAATAATAAATATTGCATTGTACTTGGTTCGTATGTTCTTATAATCTTGTAAATAAATATTGACAAGGGAATAACAAAATGGCTTTTTTGGTGGGCACAAAAGTTAAATATTTGCTATTTCTCTTTTATCTACATCTTTCTTCTTTATGACCATATTACAATGAGGCACCAGTTCTCTTCTTTTATCACTGAAGTTAAGCAATGTTTATCCTGGCCAGTACCTAGATGGGTGACAGCTTGACAATACCAGGTTCTGTAAGCTTGTATATGTGGGTGGTATAATGAATAATGCTTTGGAATTGGAAACTGGAGAGCCTAGTTCAGGTTATTAGTCAAGTTATCTATATATAGAGAAAACAGAGGATGTCTGTCTGTGATACCTTTTCATTCGAGATCCATCCAACCGATTTAAAAAAAATAATTGATAAAGCCAATCAAAAATCAAATTCAACTTTTTTTACTCCGAACATTGTTCAAACTTGGTATGTTTAAAATTACATCATGACAAGCTTTTGAATACCTCATTTTTTATTTCTATGCCATTGTGTTTTTATTTTAAACTGAAAAACAAATTTTAAACTAAAAACTCCCTCAATTTTCTAGCAATCTAATACAAACTTCACAAGAAGTTGATTGTTTAATAGTCATTTAACTTGATAATTGAGTCCACCCATATAGTGAAAACCTGTGTAAATAGTGAAAAATGGCAATTTTTACTGGTTTCTTTCTTATTTTTTGTTGATCTTTCAACCAATTTTTATCAAAATTAACAATTACTTTATGAATGTATCCTCTTTTACATCCCTGGTAGCCCACTGACAAATTGAATTTCAGAAACTCCAAAATAATTGTGGTCTGAATTGGGTCTTCATGTTGCATGTTTTACCCGTTTGATGTCCTCAGCTAACTTCAATTGAATAAATACAGACTACTTCTGTTATATCAGTAACTGCATTAATTCAAAATGTTTTTTTAATAAAAGTACTTTAAAGTAATTGAAGAAGATAGACTCTGTTACATCTAAACATGATGCTGTTTTTGCTCCATTCTATTTGAAAGCTTTTTTCTGATTGGCCAGATGGGTGTGGCTGTTAGTCATTGATAAAACATAAAAGCATTATCAACTGTTATTAATTTTTGATTGGTAATAGTTCATTTATTATCGTTATAATTACATTATTTCTACCACCACCAGTAGCAATATCTTGAATTTTATTATTTAATGAAGCATTATCAACCATTATTAATTTTTGACTAGTATTTCTTTTATCTTAAATATAGTTGCTTTATTTCCACCCATAGTAGTATTAGTAGTGTTACCTTATGGTCAATTATTCACTTACAAACAAATACCTTTGGGAAAAGTAGGAATCCACCACTTCTTCCTCCAGCTATGGATTAATTAGTAGTAATTATATCAGTAAAAATCATGATTATTGCCAAAACATTATAAAAATATTTTCTGTCTTTAAATAACCTGCAAAGGGTTGATAAGCCATAAAAAACAAACCAATCAATCTTTCATTCTTTTCTTCCTTCTTTCTTTTTTTTTTTTTTTAAATTTTAATAGTTTGATTTTTTTTTTTTTTTTTTTTTTTTTTACTAATTATCAGGTGTTTGTGAAGCCTTGGCACAAGCAATGTCGGAAAAGGACATTGATGTTGTACGAATTCCAGTTGAGAAGGACCTTGAGAAAGCTACATGGCTTGAAAAGGATCTCATGGAATTCTTTAAGAATGTTATCCAGGATTCTTCAGCTGCAAAGCCAATCTTCCAGAAATATGGTATCTTGTAAGTAGCATATTCTTTGCTTTCAATCACAAGTTACTTTGGTGACCAATTGGGTCTAGACTCATGGTTATTGGTTTGGAAAGTAGTACTAACTAGCAGTAGAGCCCGGCGTTGCCCGGGGATGTAACAGCAAGAGATAGATCAAGTATTGACCATCATGAAGACTGAAAAATAAAATTGACAAAGATTGTTGTTTAAGGTTGATGGACAAGCATGTCTTAATTAGTTTTTATTTTGTTTTTTTTTATGACTTGGTCAAACCCAAACTCAAACAAAAACATTCTACCGATTGAATAGAATTTTATTATAAACAATTGTCTTGTAAATGGAATTTTTAAAGCATTCTGAATGTAAAAATAAAAAAAAAAGTGTGCAAGACAATAAGAAACACTACCTGCCAAAAAAAGTGAACTTTTGTTGAAATCGGTTGAAAAATGTTGGAAATCCGATCCCATATATAAACGAACACACACACAAACAATGTGGGTTTTATAATAAGTATAACTCGATATGAGTTGTCCCCTTTTTATTCTGGCGAAGAATCGTTTTTATTGTGTTTTCAAATTTGATTTTCATGCAAAAACAATTGTGTTTTCCAATTTTGGCGCTGTCAGAACCAATTTAGGTAATTTTACAAGTCCTGTGAACTTTTGTTGAAATTCAAATGAAAATGTAGGAAATCTGATCCCATATATAAACGAACACACACACAAACAACCTGGGATTTATAATAAGTATAACTCGATATGAGTTGTCCCCTTTCATTCTTGTGAATGCCTCTTAATCGTGTTTTTTTTGACAATTGATTTCATGCAAAAAAAATTGTGTTTTTCAATTTTTTATATTCAGAACCCCAATTTGAAATAATTTTTTACAGTCCTGTGAAGTTTTGTTGAAATTTATTGAAAAAACGAGGAAATCAAATCCAATATATAAACGTACAGACACAAACACAATCTGCATTTTATAATAAGTAAGATAATAAGAATAAAAAAAATTCCAAAAGACAAAATTTGTTTTTTGACTTTGCTATTTTGTCTAGGGGATCTTGCAGATTTCCTTTATCAACACTGCGGGTCTTATGTTATGTTTGATATATCCATTATGTTATACTGTGTCTATCGAGAATAAATCTTTCTTTTTTCTCTTTTTCTTCTTTCCATCAAGAAATGTGAAAGCTTTTTCTTCTGTAGGGGAATGAAAATAAAATAATAAGTAAAATAATATTTAAAAAAAAAAAAAAAAGAATTTAATTTTCCTATAATGCAAAAGGAAACCAAAAAGGTTTTCCGGTCACATGTGAATGTTATGACCAGTCTCTTCTCACTTCCTAACCATTGAGTTTGAACGCGTTTGGTAATTCAAATCCCAATGAAAGGGAGATTTAGTCACCTTCACTCAATGTCAGGCTGACCTGAAATTGACCATTCTCTATAACTCTATATCTTTGTACCCACGTGTGTCAATAAACATTGGCCATTCATTTTCTAATCAAGTCTTCATTTTGTTTATTGCACTCCACCGACATTCATCATCTGTTAGCAGCACAAAATCAAATACAACTCTCCAAGTACAAATAACATTAATATAGTTCTGTAAATATTTCAGGGGATTAATAAACCATAAGTATCTGCTTGGCTTTATTGTGCAAGAACATTGTATTGCCAGTTATGACACAATGGTCAACTTTAAATTTAATTTTTTAAGTTTTAGCTGTTTGATATATCCACATATCTTATCTAAGCCAACCTTCTACAGGTTTCTATTGCTTTTGTTTTTATTGCTATTGTTTTTAAATATTCCACATTATAATGGCTGAGGTTTTGTCCTACAACACTAAATTTGGTCAAATTATTTAGCCTGCTTTTTTGTTTCTCACTCCTCAATATTTAGCCTGCATTTTTTATCTCTCACCCCTCAACTTCAAATAATACCAACAAAAAATGCTCAAGCTATTTTTCCTGTTTTTAGTTCCCAAATCTTAAAACAATTTAAATCTCCAAAATATAAAAAATATCAGAAAAGATATTTTAAAATGTCTTCAGTTCCTTTCACATGTCAAATTTATGATTACCTGCTTTTTACATTTGAAATTGCTAGATATAACCGTAAGTTCTATGCTGAGAGTTTCTTCTATCACACTTCTTGTTTGTGGAACTCTCTTTCAGCATCGTTCTTTCCTGTCAACTTTGATCTTCAAAAAATTTAATGCAATGTCAATCATCAGTATTTACATTAGTCAGACTATTGTCTTCATCTTTGTCGCCATATTTGTCACAACGTTTCATCCGTTGTACGCTCCGGCCTTCTTCAGGTGGTTGGAATTTCAAACTGAACTCTTTATTTATCACTACCATAGTTAGTTCCATGGATGGATTTCAAATCAGTTATCTCCTGCTAATTTTCCCTCTGAAAGTTCTCCACTGCCTTAACCAGGAATTGAACTCACCTTCTTTGGGTCTGTCACTGGATCTAACCAACGCCTTTATCCACTGTGCCATGTGTCCTTGAGGACATCTGGGTATGAACTTCTGAGTATTATAAACCTAATGTTTTCAGCAAAATATTTTTTACCAGTGCTCATATTGCAATTTTTGCTGTTATCATTGCATGTCTTTACCAGAGTTCATATTGCAACTTTGTTATCATTGCTTTTCTCTGGCACTCCTTATTACTGGTTCCCCATATTGTATTTATTTCTATTCTTGGTCGGCTCAGGAGATTTTGTGGCCTAGCATATGTGCTGATTCCTTAAGTTTATGAATTTTCCAATGGTGTTCCCTGTCTATGATCTCAACATGATCCCACAGGGGGCAGTGATCTCCTTCTCTCTCCATATGTGGTCAGCCACGCCTGATTTTTTCTACTTCCCCTCATTTTACAGCTTTCTGGTGTTTTTTGAAGCCTTACCTTGAGGGGGCAAATTGAGTCTCTCCTTTATATTCCTTTCTGCAGCTGCACAATAAGCGTTTTTACACACAGTCTTTAGTCATGTTCCTCTCTGTGGGGGGTCTCACTCGTGAGAGATACCTGCGAAGTGTTGTCACGCTTTTGAAGATTGTCCTGATGTTATATGGACTGCAGATCCTTTGTATTTTCTCTGATAACCCTTTCACATAAGGCAGGCCAAGTTTTTCACATATAATGGTTTCCTAAGATTCACAAAGACATTCCCATTCCACTCAGGCCGATTGTTAGTTGCCAAATTAAATTATTACACCCTGTGAGTAGCTTCCTTGTAATATAATTGACCCATTGATTAAAGAAAGTCTCCTTCATATGTCCGAAACTCCAAACGTTTTTAATATATTTTTCGCAATAATCAAAGATGCTCCCGTTCCTATCCAACCAGATGGTGAGCTTGGACGTGGTGAGTCTGTTCACCAAAAAAGTACCCACAGAGGAGGCACTCTCAGTAGTCAGAGATAGATTGACCTCTGACTTTTCCCTTAGAAACGGACCAGTATTCCAATAGATAATCTGAGGGAGATGTTGACTTTCTGTACACAAACAACATTTCATTGAATGGGATCTCAATGTATATCGACAGGATGAGGTTTAGTAATGGGCTTTATATTATCACCAGCAATGGCGAATATTTACATGGAAATTTCTTTGAAGAAAACCATATTTAGAGTCTATATATAAAGCCAACTATATGGTTACTTTGCAATAATTGAGATGAAACCTTCATACTCTGGCCACATCAGGAAGATGTCCAGGTTCTTTGGACCATGTGAACTCAATAAGACCTTCGATACAGTTCACAATGGAGAAAGAGATCTGCGGTCCATATAACATCAGAACAATCTTTCAAAAGCATGACAACATTTTTGAGCAGGTATCTCTCACGAGTGAGACCCCCACAGAGAGGAACATGACTAAAGACTGTGTAAACATTTATCCCTGTGCAGCTGGTCTCTTTATCATATAAAGGAGAGACAAATACCCGCCCCCCTCAAGGTAAGGCTTCAAGAACACCAGAAAGCTGTAACGTGAGGGAAGTAGAAAAATCAGGCGTGGCTGACCACATATGGAGAGAGAAGGAGATCACCGCCCTCTGTGGGATCATGTTGAGATTATAGACAGGGAACCATTGGAAAATTCGTAAACTTAAGGAATCAGCACATATGCTAGGCCACAAAAATCTCCTGAGCCGACCAAGCATAGAAATAAATACAATATGGGAACCAGTAATAAGGAGTGCCAGAGAAAAGCAATGATAACAAAGTTGCAATATGAACTCTGGTAAAGACATGCAATGATAACAGCAAAAAATTGCAATATGAGCACTGGTAAAAATGATGCTGAAAAACATTAGGTTTATAATACTTAGAAGTTCATACCCAGATGTCCTCAAGGACACATGGCATAAAGGCGTTGGTTAGATCCAGTGACAGACCCAAAGAAGGTGAGTTCAATTCCTGGTTAAGGCAGTGGAGAACTTTCAGAAAATTAGCAGGAGATAACTGATAACTGACATCCATCACACATGGCACGTGGAACGAGAACAGTCTAGTCAGTTCGAAATTCCAACCACCTGAAGAAGGCCGGAGCATACAACGGCCGAAACATTGTGGCAAATATGGCGACAAAGATGAGGACAATAGACCAACTAATGTAAATACTGTACATAATACCTCATCTCAGAAATATAGACAGACTCTGAATGTCAATCATTATCTTCTGTTTTCTTATTTCCTGTTCTTTTATTGTACTGTCTCCTTTTATTTTTCTCATTCTCTCACTTAGTAGCTTTATACTAAGACTATACTAAGACACAGGGGGTCTTAGTGGCTTTATTGTCTTGCTTGGGTTAAAATGATAAAAAAGAAATTAAGTTTCTTATTGTTTTAAAAGTAGTTGTAACAAATTTTATATTAAGAAAATTCCTTTCAATTTTAGTCATTATTGATTTGATAATTAGTATTATATGTCTACTTTTATTCAGATTATTTATATTATTTATTTACCTAGTTTTATAAATCTGATGAGCTTTC